AGCTTAGCAAATTTTGCACAATTCCCATGTTGCTTCTTTTGATTTTATTTACAAATTTTTGGTTAGACAGTGCTATATGTTTATTCGAAATAATGGACAGCTCATTTGCATCCTTTACTTTTTGGTCGCTTTTGAGCGCTTTTCCGTTCATCAATGACCTTTCCCCTATCATGGCTCCGAATCAATGGCATACATGGGATGAACATATCCCGAAGACCGCGGCATCGAAATAGGTTTGGTAGGTCATTATGACCTTTGCAGCATATAGCAGGAATTTTACTAGAATGCGAAGAGTAGAAGAGTACAAGTAGAATTTTCCACCTCCTATTATTTTAAGCTTACATATTGCCTAATCCGTCTATATGTCATGAGGTGATAGGAGTCCACCCACTTCCCACACAAGAGTTAAACATGAAAAAGCGTGACATATCATGTTTAGCTGCAAGGAAGCAGAATACAAACATACCCTGTTGACAAAGCTCCGTATGCACCTCCAGATACGCAAGTCGGAAAAAATTCATCCCACATCTTCGACACTGGAACGGAGCTTGATCTAGCATATTCCAAACACATTAATTGAATGAAGGGGCAGTTGTGCTTCTCGTTGGATTGGTAATTGGCGAATGAGCAAAGGAAGCATTTGAGGGGAAGACTGTAGTATTCAACATTTGTAGATACCATGTTTTATCTATTTTATTGGTATACAGGCTTATAATGGTAAAAGGCAATAAAACAAGAAACGACAAAGGACAACAATGCAGAAATCTGATGTAGCTGTATGAACCTACGTGAGGTTGAGGGTAAATGCGGTGAACCAGGAGGAGATGACATTTTTTCCAAGGTGTTCCTGAGAAATGAAGCCTAAACAACTGCTCATATAAACGAAACTGAATAAAATTGAACAAGACTTCGCAAAACTACTTCAGTACCCTGAACAAGTTTATTCCTCATGAAATGTAATCGAAAGAGTTTAAAAGTGTTAAGTACTCAGCAATTTGCTTTTCATTTTCTTATATCCTCCAGCTAATTTTTACCATTTTCATAGCTCATTGGAATACCGCGACGTCACTAACGTGTTTTGTGGCTGGCTCAGAAACCACAACTGCAAATGATAGCCCTCACTTTTGCAGGGCAATGCGCACACCATAGATGTCAACATCAGTGAGTCAAAATTAGGGACATCGAAATGGAAAGAAAGGAAAATGCATCACAGGACAGGAAATGCCGGGATGGACAAATGCTCCAGCTGAGGAGATATCGAGCACTCTTTCCACGGCAGTAGTGAATGCAGACATGGTCATCTCAATCTGCCTCACCACTGACAAAAAATAGTTGCGCTTGTTACCCATCTACCTCCACATCACAAAGGCGACTTGGCACCTGCAAACTCAACCCCATGTCCCGGGATATCTGCAACCTTAGCGCAAACCACTTGCATGGCAATCAAACTACAGCCGAATAGTAGTCTCAAGATCACACTTTCGACAGAATAGTTAACCCCCGAAATCACCATCTAGCCAAAACCTCCTGGTATACCCACTTACCACCTGCACCACATGTAAAACTGTTCGTAGCTCAACAACGCAATGAGGTCAAAGAATACACAAATATAAATCAAGACCAAAAAAATTAAATGAAAAGGATAGAAAAGGAGTCCTATCGTGAGTGGTCGATTGAGTTCAGAAGCAATAATACCTAAAAGTGATGTTTCTTCTCCCATTCTTCTCTCGATACATCAAACTACCTATGCATACATCTGTCCATGCCGTAATGCATCCACCCATCTATCAACCCCTCAGTCTACTTACATGTCTAACTGCCTATCCAACTGTACTACACAAACATGCTGAGCTATTGCCATTGCTAAAATGCGGAAAGAAATATGCTTTATTGCCGAAAATTTATCTTGAAAAGTCATCTGTCCACCGACACTTCAGGAGAATTTGTAAGGTTAAATTTAAACTGCATACATAGGCAAGAACCATTCTTATGTTGTGCATTTTTAAACAGCGGTAGCAAGCAAATTTTGCTACTTAAAATATATAAATGAATGATCTCTCAGAGTTAGTTTGTTCAAGTCGTACCTCATGCCTAAGAATAACAATGAACTTTTTAAAAATAATTACATTTAATACCTAATTAGGTAATAAGGAATGGGGGTGGTACTGAAACTAGTATCAGTACTGGTTGAAATTACGGCACCTACTTTCCCTCACACAATGATAATTTGATGCTATCGCTGATTATGGAGTATTCTCCTAGTGGAAAACAATCTCATAATGCAAAACCAAGGTTAGTAAAAATGCGTTGTTATCAACACGAACTAATGAACTCTTAATGCTATTCGACGGGATTGCGGCTCTTATTTGTTCAATTTCTTCAAAAATTACTTTTAATCTGCTGACATTTTTGGCCACAATCAAAGCAGGAGCGCCTGCAAGCAGATATTGTGCACAGAAAACACAAAATAAGTGAAGTTCAAAGCGTTGACATTGGACCGGCACTCGATTAAAATAAGAAAAGAGTGCATTTGAAGTGAAAAGCATTGGCGACTGCTTGTTTAGAGCTAAGTGACATCGCCTAGTGTTAATGCTTTTTAAAGTCAGATAGGAATGATACCCGTTTTTTTTGTTTTTGTTGCAGTTAAAACGCTTGTGTTAGGCTGCATTAAAAGTCAGTAGAATGCGTAAATTCTTTGCATCGCCCACTGGTACACGTCCATTCCATTCATCTCAACGTAACCAAAGCATATATATGACCTAAATTTCCAATTGTCCAGAGGCGAAAAATCTACCACATGAATACGAGAAAAAGGAGTCATGAAGTTAGGTACTTGTTACCCTAATCTCAAACGGAATGATTTAAGTTAGCATTAAATAAACTTTAAGAAAAGTAATGCCTATATACTACCAAACATGCTAACTTCTGCATGGCCAGATAAAATTACAACACTGTTTGCTTAAATACCTGAGGAGTATTAGCAGGACGAGATTTCGCAGATTGGTTTTTGAGGCAAGCCCAACCTTTACAAATCCCATTCAGCTAAGAAATGCGATCCGATCCTCTCTGCTGGTATAACGTCTTCATCTAGTCGCCCAGGGCATATACACTCTGAGTTCTCGTCTTTCTCGGAACATTATGACGATTCCTCCACTACCTAATTTGCATTCCCTAAATCTCTTCTCACCTAGGGGCTGGGTTTAAATGAAATGGGTATTGCAACCGTGCCAGAGTTTATTTGCGTCAGTCACTTAAGTTGAAGTACAATGTATGATGTGCTTCTTTAATGACTGTACATTCCCGCTTCAGAATTTACCATTAAAATCAGTTTTTGCCAAATTAATAAAGCTAAACAGTGGTTATTTTAGAGAACACATCCCATAATTAGAGAATTCTCAGCTTCATGCAAGTCATTATTGCAAAGCAATTCAGACTATATGCTAGGCTTAGAAAGGGCTAGGAATGGTAACGTTTTGCAATGCTTCCACTGTTGTGTCAGCATAATTTATGTTTTTGGCATCATCTGAGCAACTACAAAATTGACAGTGGTAAATGCAAATTTATCCATTGCTTCACTACTTGTACGGATAATCTGAAATGCCACCAATCACGCCTAGGCCTAATTTGTTGATTAAGATATGTTGCATTTTCATTTAAAAATGGCGATCACTGAAAAAATTTATGCTAGTTAATGCCTTGGCCATATTTTATCTCCACTTGTCCTAACTTTAGGCTGAAATTTGTAATTGCTAGTGTGACAATGTTTCTTATTGTTGAGCTCTCACTTTGGCAATGGACAGACTCGACTTCCGCAATTATGCCCTCTTCGGGCGTCCGGGTGGCAAGGTCATACCAGCAGCCCTAAATCACTTTCTGTACGTTAATCATATCTGAGTATTATCTCATCTTCTCTCTTTACAAAAGCATTGACGAGGTGCACTGGTACAATCTGCATGGTGAATTTTGGCTTATAAACTGCACCCCGGAGAGTAGTAATGATGACCACTTTTGCGAAGCCAAATGAGAGCACTCCATGTAGACCATATATAAATAAGAACACAGACCCAAATTTTGAAAATGTTCTTTTAGAAGTGATACATATAAGTTAAAACTATTGGAACATTAAGAAGCTCTCTTCATAGAAGCCTTTGATACCAGTTTGTATATCTCCTTACATCCTTGACTCCTAGCGAGCGACAAGGCCGTGTCTCTACCGCCTATTCTTCGCGCATTAGCATTAGCTCCTGCAAAAGTTTGTGCGTCTTTCTTAGTAAAACATGGCAAAAGTTATCATAAAAGCCAATTTTAATGTAACCATTCCAAAACTAAAGCTCACGTAACCAGCTTTATAAGAATCAATTGATCTTTTTATGATTAAGGTAAACTACCCAAGTTTGCAAGCAGCGTTTGGACAAATCTGAGGTTGCTCATTTAATTAGGGAAAAGAAAGCACAAGTCAAACCTCGTACCAGCAGCCAACAATGCGGCAACCATTTCGATCTTTCCGGTTCTTGTAGCTTCCATCAGTGGTGTATAACCTTGTCCATCTAACTGCTCAATATTTGCTCCATTGGTTATGAGAAGGTCTAGAGTATTGACATTGTTAGAACTGATAGCCAAAAAGATGAGTGGTGTGTAAGTATCATCGTAATGATTGGCATCTGCCCCGTGATTGAGCAGGATTTGGACCAGCTCTACGTGGCCCAATAGCACAGCCTCTCGTAGTGCAGCATTTAACTCTCCCCTCCTATCTGCTATCGGAGGTCCACGTTCCAGGAGAAGCTTCACAATCTCTACTTTGCCCTGCAGAAGCGAAGATGAAGAAGCACGTCTAGGCGCCCCAATGTGCGAATATTGGTTTAATTAAGAAATATAGGGTGTGTAAAGGAAAGAGAAAACTCCAGTTTCGGAAGTAAAGATTTGACTCAAGGAGTTTTGCAAGCCGGGCAAAAGACTACTAAACTCTTACGTTAAAAGGTTAACTCACCGATTTGCATGCAAGTGTTAGAGCGGATTCCCTGTTGTCGTTCAGTTGAGGGCTTAATACAGCGTTGCAGCCGAGCAGATGCCGAACAACTTCGATGTGACCTTCCATGGCAGCCACCATTAGTGGAGTGCGTTGGCTACGATTTGCGAGTTCCAAGGGACTATGGCGCAGCAGAAGAAGCATCACGCAATCCAAATGCCCTGCAGCAGACGCAGAGTGAAGGGGAGTGTTGCCCCATCCATCAGTTTGGGAAACTGATGCTTTGTGTTCCAGAAGGTCATACATTACCTCGTAGTAGCCATGCTCGGCGGCCACTATGAGCGGAGTTTTCCTTCCACATACTTCATACATATTTGGATTCGTCTAATAAAAGTATGTTCTGTAATCTAACTACTGTGACACTTTTCTAAAGATACTCTCACACAAGTGCAAGGACAATCGGAAATATGCACAAAACCCTACGTCTTCCTGTGCGTCCTGAAAGGGATTAAACTTAAAAACATAAATCGTGCCTTTTTCACATGAACTGAAGCCAACAAAACTCGGTTTTTAAGGTCATGTGATGCGATTTGAAATGATAATCTAGAAACTAAACTGAATGGCAAATAGTTTAACATACGCCTTTTTGAAGCAACTGCCGAACAGCATGCGCATCGCCTCTGAAAACAGCTTTCAATAATGCTATTCCGCTTTTATCCACACGAACAGCAGGCCAATTGTCTGCATTTTTCCAGCTTTCCTTCAGAATGTGTGATAATGCAAGCGTAATAATGATTAGCAAAATAATTCAGTGGAACTGCTTTTGAGGGCAGAAAAGTTGCCATAAAAACGAATGGGACTGTTTTTTAGTTAATTAGTACAGAATGGGAGGTCTTGGAGTAATTCCTAAAAAGCCTCTATTCAGATATCACTGCGAAAACGAATTTCACCCTTATATCCAAGCATCACTCCATTACCTTCCGCTCATCCATTCTGATTGAGGAAACGGTTTAGCCACCTGAGCCATGGCATGAACACGATTTTCATGATCTGTGTTGCTGACCCCAATTTTGTTTAAATTGGGTGAATTTGTTCATGCAGGCTCAAAAAGGCACAGATTGTAGCCACGAGTGCATTTAGAAACAAGCAAAGAAATGCCTCTGATGACAGCATAATACAAGGGCGCTGGGACGCATGCTTAATATATGCGTTTAAAATTAAATAGAAACAAACTATTTTAGGCCATGGAAAGGGCCGATATAAGCAGAGAATTCCAACTAAGTGCCTGAGGAAAATATGGAAATTCATAACCCTGTTGGAATGGGGCATCTTTACAGTCTGTCAATATTTGAAAGGGAGCATAATCTACATTTAATCAAAGGGAAAATTGCAGAGGTGTGGTTTGGCAGATCACATCATTCCAACTGCAGCGATTGCCATTTCGCCCTATAATTTTAAACAATGTGCAACACACAAACACAGAATCACATTTGAGAAATAAGTTTTCATGGCTTCAGTTAGTTTAGGCTAATTTTGCCCCAACCTAACAGATAACTACTTTAAAAGGCTTGCAGCTTGTTGTCCGTTTTCTCAAACTCTGCTCGATCAACCGATATGTAATGTATATATTGCAGGCTCTGGTTGAATATGCGCGATGTTGACACAGGTCTATTTAGACCCTTTGCCACGCAATTGGCATATAACTGTCTTAATAAGTCAAGTTCATTTGGTTTTTGTAATTGGCGGCATTCGCACCGCATTTGGCTGTCCAAACAATTCCATGAAGCAAATGTTGGCTTCCAATCTCAATAGTCGTAAGCAATTCTACTTTAAATTATAAAAAAACAAAAAATGTGGTTTTAAACAATTAGAAATTAGGGAAATAAGTAGCACTGCCATGTTGAGGAAAAAATAGTTAAAGTCTCAAAACTTCTCCAAAATCCACAGGCATACACTTCCACTCATGCATCAAAGCAAATTTACCATTTGATACACCCTAAGTATATTTGTGTAATGTGCATATGATAGTGGCACTTGTCTTTGGCGCCCAGACGCTGACCGTCGAGTCAAACAATAGTAGTCTGAGTATTGTCGATAAACGCAAGGAAGTATGGTCATATTGCAAGGGACTGTGTCAATGTCTCAATTACACGGTGTGATGAGTGGTAAGGAAGAATCTTTTGGCCTAAGGATATTTTAATTTAGAATAGCCAGTTTAGCCTTTCGCCACACATTCTTGCACGTAAATCAAGCGAAATACAAAAGTGACATTACTCGATTGCACTGAATTCGCGTAAACAACGACAGGTTTACCTAAGAGATAACTCACGATTGCTTACTCTGCAGAGCTAAACTACTAAAGCACTTTGATGGTATTGCCAAATGCAGTAGCACGAATGAAAGAATTTTTGCTCTCATTGTCAAGAATTTCATGCAAATCAACGCAGTAATCATACATCGGTACAGTCGAAGGGATAAGCAGTCAATGAAAAATGTTTCGATGCATATCTTGATTAATTGGTTGCCTTCATATAACTTTAGCATGCCGCAGGTATCCGGAATTCGTAAAAAGCTGTAGTAGCACTTTTTAAAAAGGTATTACCGAGATGCACGAAGTCTGAGAGGCTATTGGCCATGTCAGTGAGCTGAAGCGCAATTCGTGGAGAAGCAGCTGCAGATTTAAGTTAACGGCTGAAACATTTCACAACGGTATAATGCGATATTTAGTTCTAGGATGTGTGATTGCATATTAAATTAGGAAATCTAAATGCAACAGACTCATTTCCCTTAGTTTATTTCATAAAAGTACTAAGATGGCCCTTTCCATTCTCACTAGCCTAGGGGATTTGATTGGTCTTAACACTGAAGTAACAGTTAATGTACTTGGAATATGTCAGGCCACAGGATATTGACCAATCAGAAGGGATTAGGTGGATATGAGACGTGCCAGAAATACGCACTCAGGAGAAAATTTCTAAAAAATTGGAGCAATAATGCTTTCCAAGTATGAAGGCATCCTAGCGCTTGCGTGCTTTCTATGGTGAAGCAACAGCAAATAGAGTAATTATAAAATCCAAATTTTATCTAATGGAACTTGTCGATACTTATTCATGTTTGCGAATAAAAATTAAAATTGGACCATCGGAGACCCAGTTCAAGCAATACCAAAATAAACAGTGATAAGATACTAAGCATTGCAATTGACAGTATTTGTCTCTTCGTCCTAATCATTTTGACGGCATCATTTGAGCAATAATAATTTGAATGATAACATTTTGAGATAGGTAAGGAATCCAACAACTGTTTATGCCAACGTATTATTTTGGTTTAACTTGCTCTACGTATGAGGTTTAATCAACCTAGAAAATATGTACTTTAAGAAACATAAATGTCTGATTTTCGTTAGTGTAAGCTAATCTTCTTCTTAAGTATGTCCTTTTGAAGAATGAATTTTTAACGTCATAATGCTAATTATCTCTGTCGCCACAATCACAAGACGACTGGAAACGCTTGCAAATGCCTACTTCGGTACCGCCCTACTCCACATAGCCACAGTTTGCCATGCAATGCCCGAAATAACTTTTTAACCATAAGATAACGTCACCAATGATGAGTAAACATGTGCCGAAATTTGAGCATAATTGTGAGTCAAATCGGAAGAGGTAGCACTCTGATGGGCTGAAACTCGGCAAACGGAAAGTGTTGGCTTCAGCAAGAGCGAAATACCTAATAGACAAAGTGTATTTTAATTCTAGTTGCGAATTTGACATTCATGTAAAGAGTCATTGATAAAGTTTTTATTTAGGTAGATCAAGGCCAAATCTACCAGCATCTTCATTGTCAACCACACCAACCCACTTAATCATTCAAATGGTCTATTCCTCTGATGTGTAGTCGTTGGAATTAGCATGACAATGGGTAGAAGGATAGAATACAAAATTCGACATAAAATTGCAACCCAAATTATGATTAGATATCTAACATTCATGTTTAATAAATAGTATTCATGCATTGCATATTATGAATGACATGTAAACAATGATTCCCTTACCTGTGTGTAGTGACCGCAAATGTAGCTAAAGAAGTCATTAAAATAACTGTAGTGCATGTTTTCATTCCTTCAGCCACAAATCGCTTTAGTAAAAGTTGGCTTCAAGCCACCCACAACTGCAATATTTTGCCCAAGTCCATTGTACTGTGGGCAAACCCTCCAACCTGGATGTTCGAATCTACATCGACTGACCGAATAATCTGCCAGACGTTCCGAGTCCTTGGAGTACTTCCGGACAGGTAAACATAGGTACAATAAAACGCTACAAAGGACAGTTGTACGTGGAATAACTTGAAGTACCAACAGGTGTGTTTCTAATTACGAACGTTTCAAGATGGAACGCACCATTAGTAGCATGCTGCTGGCAGGAGGGTGCACCCTTCTTCGAACCTCAATGTGAGTTGCAAGAAGATGTTCTTGTTAACCATCATTGGGTAGTTTGCGAGATGCAACAGATGTGGGAGTGATCAGGCTAAAGACCTTCATGAAGAGAGCTGTTAATACAAAAATTGCGTAGAGTTATTGCTTTGCTTGCACAGAGGAGCAGTAAGTGCGAAGCTTACTGTTACTCAGTTAATGGCAACTCACCATTCCTTACTCATGTCATCGTGGCAGATGGACTATGTGGGTAAGAGAATCGCGCTCATTTATACATGAGGCATGATGTGATCACACAGGCTATGATATCATATGAGATTATACAGCCGTGCCAATTTTGCCTCAGGTCAAGCGGGCTTTATAATGAAAATCTGCAGAAATACTTTAGCCTTATTTCACAACTATGGTGTAGCAATAGGCAGATTTTACCGAATAAAATGTGTAGGTCCCCATTTATGCGGTGCATGAATGATGTTGCAGGAAAGCATGGCTAGAGATGGACTGACGTTTTGCAATTCCCTTGCAAAGCTGTCTTAAGGACAAATTTTTTTGGTGACAGACGATTAGATCTCACCAACCCCAAGGCCTAGTAGACGACACGGCTATTACAAGGAAATGATGAAGGCTGATTCTCTTCCCCACTTATAAAGTTCATGCTTCGTAAACACTTCTATTCCAACTTGATCACTCCTCTGAAGTAGGATGTGGCAGACCACAAAATTACTAAATCCGTTATTGGCTGTGATTGCGTTATATTTGTCTGGATGCCAAAGAAACAATAAATGCTTCGTTAATGTGCAACGGTGTGCCTAAAAAGTAACGAATTTAGGCAACACTTTACCGCTTGCCTCACAATTTTACACACTGCCTGATGGCATACAACCTTGGCAGGTGACAATCTAGTGCATAGTAGATTTAGCAAAGACTTGAGACAATAAAGTCTCAGGACAGAAGTCCAGATGGGCAGGTAGTATGCAGCATCCAAGTAATTTTAATTTTAGTCTACTTACAATCGATTTAAATGGAAGCAAAGGCACTTTGCCTATTTGATTAAATATATATTGGGAGTACCCTGCGAAGTTTTTATGTAAAACATTGAACTCTTGCCCTGACTAAATGCTCACTTACCAATTATTATGCATCCGTTTTAGTGCTTCTTTTTACCGACCTCTGGGTTCAGTACTTCAGGATCAACGTGCCGCCCTGATCAAAATGTCTTCCATTGTGTGTTGCTACAGACTGAGAAATAATCACGCTTTATAAGCTTCTCAGCGTTCCTCTCCGCTTTGTGGGCATTAGTGGCATCCGCCAAGCTGCAGAGGATGACGCGCCCTGGGTATTGGCCGCTCGAATAACACTTAATTTCTTATATAGGTCACTGATTAACAACAGTGATATGGTCTCTCCATAAAGGGATTGAAACTTGCAGGTGTGGGTGAATGTCGTGTGGGTATGGAAGTGCAAGTTCACATATCACACAGTTATGCTCATGGGTAGGTTCAGTGTCTAGTCAGGAGAAAATGAACAAAATTAGCGCATCTCGTCCACAAAGAGTGCTTCCGAATAAAAGTGCCATCACAGAAGAATATTAAAATTTGCCTTTTATTTGTAAGTTCTCTGTTTGGAGAATACATTAACCGAAGCCTAGTGGGGTTGACTTACTGCTCTTATTCTCCGTTACTTCGAAATGAGTTTCACCCTCGGTACACTTGAATTTTTAGTAATTACGATGTTATTCGTGCAACATACCCTGCAGAGATATACGTTTCCTTCATAAGCATAAAAATACTTTTGTGTCCTTAGTCCTAATCATCCAACATTTCATATTTTAACATGTATATTTCGAACTATATTGAAGTACACAACATTATTCCTTTTCTGGTTACTACAATACACACGTTACAAATCATATGCATTCTCATAATAGATTGGCGTTGAAGTAAGTGGCATCCAATTACGTGCAGCTTTTTACTTTACCTTATCGCACTTTCTAAGTCATATTTGGATGTGCGGATGCATGTGAAGGGGAAATTCTATGTAAAAAGAGGCAGAGCTACAAATTTATTCAAGAATCAACAAACGCAAGCAACTAGATTCCTTGAACCATTCATTTATTGAGCAAACACAAGTTAGAATTCAATGTAGGGAATCGATAGACTTTGCAAAGCTAGGAAAAACTTCAGCAATGAGCCGCGCCTGCAAGACTGGTAGGTAGGTGGTGGAGACTGACTAACCACCTAATTTGCACAGCTAGTGTACATCTTTTGTAACCACCAATTTGGACTTAAGAAAGTATGAGAAACTGCTCACGAAGATGGCGTCTATCAAAAGTTCAAGTAAGCTAGTCTTTCTGGGTCTGTAATTACCGCGATTACAAAATATATGCAAATAACATGTGACACTGTTGGGCTTACTGCCAATAGAGCTTATGATGACAGAAAAAAAGGACTACTTTTGCATTTAGTCTTTTCTTTTCCATTCTCCTCCATGTCTTCAATATACACTTTGGAGAACGGGCACAGTTATGATTTACGTTGATGCATTCGGTAGGATTATGAGGGATATTACTTTCAGTTCCCGTAATAAAACATCCGCACTCATCCCTTTCTATCAGGTAACTTTATTCATGCAAGAAGTTAAAGTAATCATTAGTTTTTTTACTAGCTTCTGATATTTATAATAGGAAATAAAGAAAATTATACTTCCAAAATGATTAAAAGATGGATGAATGGGACGCGTTGGATTAAAGCAAACCTAAGTAAAATAACTACGCATAATTTGGACAGAATGCAAATCTTGCCTCCCTTCATTTGGTACCTTAATTTCTCCCAAAGATAATTAACAAATAATAAATCTTAGTTGCATTGTCTGCGAAAGTTGTGGTGAGAGCAAAAGAAACTCGACAAGTTGACATGTCATCGGCATATTGGGTGGCGTAGACACGATAACGTCCATCGACTCACGAGAGTGTCAGTTACCCCCCTTAGCCCACAAGATTGCACATTAAGAAATGCAGTAATTAGACATGAAAAACCCACAAAAGAAGACAGGCACTTCCACCTCTCACGTGCTCTAGCTAAACAGATTTTGCCTAATTGAACAGCATTAATGTCAGACAATTTAGTGGTAATAGGGTTCACAAAAGAAATGGCAAATAGTTTACAAAATACCAAATGCCAAGCAGCACTTTACTCTGCCTTTGGGAAATACTGCTTGCTAGAACGCAAATTGCTGTTTTCACCTTCGCCTGTCACAGAACACCATATGTGGTTGGAAGACATCACTATCCATTGAGTGATGCATTCGTGATTTACCATGCAACTCACTCAATGGCTGAAAGGCTGATGCCATCATGTGGCAAGTAAGTGATGTGATAAATTTGAAAATAATGCACAAACAATTAGTGTGTAAGCACGTGACATGCACATTTGTGGGTGTCACACCTGAATCAGCTGGCGATTTGTCATTTACAACTCCATCAAATGAAAAGAAGACAACGGGTCGGAGCAGGAGCATGCAAAGTATGGCGTAAGTGCTTAAAGCGCACTTTGCTAAAGAAGAGATTTGCGTTAGGTAGTGGATGAGCTTTAATTAATTGTGTTTACTTTCGCTTGGATGTGTAGTAACTTCGGCTTCATATCTCAGTGTGACCTAGGAAATATGACGACTCCTCCTGGTCCACCCCGTTTGCTTCCAAGAACATGTCAGTTTTAGCAACGAATTCCGTTTTTTTTACTGTTTTTGTGATAGTATTTGTTATTTTTTGGCATATTCACTTATGTGTATTATACTGTATAAAATGCAGTCCCTTAAAATGCTAGTTTCGCCAGCCCAGCATTTCGTATGTTATTTTGGCCCATTTATGCATTAATAATCTTAAAAGTACCACGATTATCTTCTCACTTATTCACTACAAATCAAATCTACTAGATCAAGACCCATTCCAATGCCGGAGATGTGGAATGTGCTTTTCCAAACGCGCATATCTAATAGAACATATGGAGCACACTCATCAGGGTAAGTTGACACTGTACTTGTTTATAATGCAGCGAACTTCCATATTTAGAATATATTAAAGAAAAATATGGAAGATATTGAGACCTGCGCTACCTGTACAGCCAAAATCAAAATTGTTAACTCATGCATGTCATTGTAAAGTGGATGTTGGCATTTATAGAAGCGAGAAACTTACTTTATATGAGTTGGCATAAATTTGATAAACTTCTGCAAATGTGACATGCCGTTGTTGAATAGACCCAGTTTTGTCATTGAAAGCAAAATATTATTATAAAAGTAGGGCATTGTTCACGTTTCCTTGCATTGTGCACCACTTTATAAAATAAAATGTAGGGTGTCAAGCCCTCCATCCAAGAAATGTAATGCTTAGAGCCCTCTATATGAGGCGAAATCAAATTCCTGTACTACAGCTGTATTGTTATTTGCACTGCAATGCTACTCTGCCTTCACATGATAGCGACGTTATTCTATCAAACAAAGAGTTTGAGACCGTTCTAGCAATTTATTTAGCCAAGAATTGGTATGCCTATTTGCCTATTTGCCCAGTTCTATTCTCTTTGCTTTGGCAATTTATGAAACCTTGCCAGAATTTCTTGCTTTGATTTATTACTTCCACTACTTTCCTAGATAAAAGGTGGTTTCAGTGTCCACTGTGCGAAAAAGCCTTCCCCTGTCATGACGCGCTAAACCAACACCTTTTGAATATCCACGACAGTGAGTCACATAATCGCGAACAATTTGTACGTCTTTTCATGCAACAACTATTTTAAGAAGAAGGTTTGGATTGTAGGAATGCAAAAATTATTTTATCAAAATAACGGGTTTTTGTTATTTCTGCATTTTTAAAGTTAATAATTTAGATGCTTTCATTTTAATGGATCATTCACCAACCGATGTGATATAGGTCTTCATACTTCTGCGATTTAAGGGATGCGCTACAATATTTCTTAAAAGGCTTTATAGGTCGTTTTTATATCTAAGTGGGTTCAACATTTATATTGTTTAAATGGAAATTACCTGTCTATCGGCATTGTCGCAAATGGTTCAGGAGACGCAGCACCCTGAATGATTGCCCGATAGCTAAACTTACTAAATTTGAACCTGCATTACCTGCCAAATATACTATTTTTTGGTATTTAAGGCATTTACTTTTTGAATCTCAAACTTCTAGAGAGGAAGCCATTTACCTGCCAATATTGCTCTACGTCGTTCTCACGAAGAGGCAATTTAAATCTTCATATTTCTGAAGTCCACGAGGGCAAGCAAAATATGTCCCAACGCTTGTTGTGAATTTTAAGCAAAGACTCCTTCTTACTATGCGACGTTCATCTTTCCACCTTCTTCTTTTGTAGGATGGCTTTATTACTGCAAGTATTGCAATGAGTCCTTTTCACAACGGAGCCTTTTAAGCAGGCATATTACTATAATTCACGGGAGAAACTCAGATAGCTCATAGGAGTGTGTTTCCTTCTTTTAATTTTTTCACCTACGGTTAAGGATTGTTGTAATTTTTCTGCTTAGCCATATCCTGAGGGAGGTTGTTCAATGGGATTATTTTCCACGTCGTTTGCAATTCACTCAGAAAGGGAACTGTTTTGAATTTTCGCATAGCAAACTATTATTCTCTCTACTTGGCAGGTAGCATTTTCACCTAATACGTCTATTCCATAGAAAAATATCTTTGCATTTTCTAATTCCTTATTCACAATATGCTGCAATTAGTTGAGCAAATGCACCTGACAGAAGAAACTATTTGGTATTACTGCGAAGTTGGCGACACTTTACCAAAGCTAAATCCACTTAGAAGTGTATTGAAAAAGAGGAGTTAATATTGCACGAAACCACCAAATACATCTTCTTATAAGCATTGCTCCTCTTCTTTTAAGTCGTTACAATTTATGGAATTTTTAGATTGCTACTACTACTGCTTTAAGCGTAAAACCACCAACTTTGAGGTCGACTTCTTTGACTTCCATATTAGAAAGCATATTGTACTGCAGTTTTCACAGCTGGTATCTCAGCATTTTAAGCCGCACATGCCAACACTGTCACCCAAATGTCTTCTTTTAACGTTCAAGGCAAAAAAAGGGATTTGTTGTGCCCATGGTCAAATGTAAATATTCACGAATTCACCTCACTCTCCTCACTTTCTTCTAGGACGGAATCACAGACACCATATTGCTCACCCTTTGCCGTCGTCTGTTAGACTATATGCTGATCAAGCAGTTTCCCAACTTATATGCGTGTACCATCAGGAGCACCACCGTATGTATGCTTCTATTCATTCGATAGAAGCACTGTTTTTAACTATTTCCGACAGAAGGAAATTAGTGTGTTTTTATGTATTATGTTTACTTTAAGCTTAAATCATGCTATATATTAAGAACAAATAAAATAAGTCTTTTTAAACGCTGTTTATTGTACAAGATACACAAGCAGGGTTTGATTGGAAGTTATGTATGCCTCCCCAGTAAGTGGTTACTCGGGACACATAATCCCAAAATTGAGATTTTTTTGCATCTAACCTACAGGCAAAATGAATTTTACCAAAGAGAAATTTTATCATCATTCCTGTTGCATTCTAGGCAGATTATTGGCTTTCAAAGTATCTGGACCAACTTCTGCAGCAATGTTTACTTTATCTAAAAGTAAATGGGAAAACACATACTGCCAATAAAACCACCGTATAACCTACAACTCTCCTGATTTAAACCCAGTAAAAATAGTTAAAAAGTTGTTTAAAGGATGTATATAGAAATAAGAAATAATAATAGGCTGTGTTTTGAGGATTTTAATAAACTGAACATTTGTGCAGTATGAGCCTCCTCTTGCGGCGGACTTTGCATGACTTATTGCACGGAGGATGTTTCACATCAGCACAGCATATAACTTCGTGTCGGATTTCGATAGCCATTAATGCCTGCGTGGATTAATAAATCGGCCAAAAGAAGTTACATAAGTTTTATTTGGAAGGGAGAAAAATATGCAAACGTAAACATAAATCTCTTGAAATACTCTAACGGATTATTGCCGTCCATCCTAACTCAGTTGAGTACAAGATCGAAACGAAGATAGCAGTGCTGCTAAAGGCATTCCAAATTACTCTTAATCGTAAACCTACGGTTACCTAAATGTGTTTAGTTATGGTCTTGCATTTTGTGTCACTCCTAAGTTGTATTTTGTATTCGATGTTAACTTATTTTTGTGCCCTGCTTCTTACTCTTTTTGTGTGCCAATTTATCGATGCCAAACTATCCCACAAAACGTTTTAATTACCGATTGTGTTGGGCAAAGCTTTTGCATAATACGTAATGCAAGCGGTTTTGGTGAGTTTAAGGAAGATAATATGTTAATTTTTAGTGTGAGAGAATATGGGGAGGAAAGATTTGATATTGCCATAAGGCGGATAAACAATAACACAAAAGGGAAAGAATGGAAACTGGAGTGGACTAATGTTGTATTGAATGAAATGGCCCAAAAATTTTATAATTATAGTTTTTACTTTTCACCAGTTCATTATAGGGTAACCTTTGGGGAAATTAAGTGGATAAGTTGGCAAAACTGGTAAGATGAAAACTTAAGCAGTGCTTAAATCTGGGGTTCCAACTATTTTAGCTAAAAGAAGAATGAGAGTGTCGCACAGTTTGAATGGCACAAAGTAATTTGTCTTTCACCTGAGAGTTATAACTTTTCCTATTTCCAGCATTAATGCATACGCTTGCATACTATTCTCGAAACTCAATGACTGTATTTGCTTGCTGAAAAGGTGAAGCATACGTGAAACTATCCCGGACACACAAAACAGAATTGGCACAATTTTGATTTGATGGTGGAGTTTTTTACCCATTGGGTAAAATGTAAAGCGCATAAAATATATATGTATATAAGGGATGCGAGTGACGAAGTCTGTAACACCAATAATTAGATTTGTGAAAACCTTTTGTTAATGGCATTAAGTCATGTAAAATTAAGCAAAACCCAACATATCTAACTGGTCTCGCATGCCCAGCTTACAGTCCCACTGTCTGTTAATGGTCTGCAGGCGCTAGCATTGTTGCACACCACACATGAAGTTGCTATTCAGCCTAGAGCGTTAGCAAATTCAAACGTGTTGAATATTTAGCAAACACATTGCAAATACAAAAGTTATTAATAAATTCCTTAAAACCCGTGCTGCAAGCCTCTGTTCTTTCATTTGTTCATTTTAGTTTATTTCATAGAAAGTGTAATTACTTGGCATCTCAGGGAAGAACTGTGACCTTCACTTTACTGATTTACCAGCTCTAAGGTTGATTAAGGCATGAATGAAACGTCCAAATGCTACTTTTGAGAAAAAAAATCCTCGTAAGTCTTCAAGATGCGATGCATTGTATTGCCTCGAACAGGTAGATGTCAGTCGTAGTTGTTTTACATTTGACAGGCCCTCACACCATCACATCACGCCATGCAAGTAATTTTTTTGGACAAGTGGTAAGTCATAAGACATACCACTTAGAAACAATGACTAACATTAAAAGGTAGAAGAGGTCATAGATTTTCGTATTAAGCTAAAGCTGATTCCCATCCTGATTTCCATCACCGAGGTAGTTTGGGCAAATACCACATTTATTTCTGGTGACATTCATTAATTAACAAGCTGCTCATCGTGAAAAATAAAATAATATATGTCCTACTTGAATTTGGTCATTACTAAGAAACATTACGTATGTTTCTAATGGGAACTTCCACAATACCTTGATACAAGCGATGAGGGGTATTTGACACTTAATCACCGCCTTATGAATGCGGATACATCTATTGCACAAGTAAGGGATTCAAGACTTTGGTGTCGATATCATTTGAAAAAGTTATTTGGCGTGCGATGTAGGCCATAACGTATATGCTGTTCCATCTAATAAAAGTACTCTCATCTTCTCAGAGATTACAGTTTCGACGGAACTGTTAGTTTTCCTAAATAAAGGGAACCCAAGAGAGGTTAGGACTGCTTATTTTTAAAAGGCGAATGTACATAACTCTTGATACATACAGCTTCAGTGCTCAGTGGATGACGTCTCTCATCGTACCTATAGACCACCTAATTTCATCATTGCCATCGCTAAATATCAAACTTAGCAGCACCCTCTAAGGTACAATAAAAGGTTGTCATTGCTGCAGCATAAATGGCTTGTTTTGGGCGCTCCAATGAAATATTTATCTTCTTCATTTAACACCAGCACTTAAGAAACGACGAGAATTTGATAGTGATAAAATAAAATCAGCGTATAATAGGGGTACAGAGGCTGATGTTGCTTGGGTTATTGAAGTC